GAATCAAAAGATGGAGATAAAGCTGAATCTTCGAAGATCTCCTATGCTGAAAACCTTGTTGAAGATTCGAGGGCGAATCTTTCTTGGCCGGAGGGAGCTGATGCAGCGCAGAAACAAGATTCGAGGACGAATCTTTTCTTGGCCGGCGAGACCTGATGCAGCGAGATATTTGGAAATATTCCAAATATCTATTATTATCATATTTTAATTAATTAATAATTATTGTTCTAGAATATTCTATGTTTTAGGGTTTTTATGCTTTATTATAAATAGCCTTCTAAGGCCTCCTATTGTATTCAGTTGTTATTGAATTTATTAATCGAAAGATTTAAAGAGGTTTTTATAAACCACTGTGAAGAGTATTCACAAACCCTAAGAGCTTTTGCGAAAGCCCTGAGAGGAGGACTCTCAAACCCTAGTTTCCGGGTATTCTCAGAATCAACGGATCTAGTTCTATCCCTAGAAGCTTCCGCTTCATCACCAACTAACCATTGTGACAGATAATACCGTGTACACTTTGTTTATTGAAAACTGTATATGTATTTTGAAAAAAAAAACAAATCGCATGTTAAGTAAAGAGTTCGAAAAGAAAAATCAGATAAAACTGAAATTTTTTTATCATAAACCTAGATACTGTTATGAAAATGAAATTGGAACAGGAGTTGTAATAATGCTGTCTCACTGGAACACGCAAGAAATATCCCCTTATTATAGCGTATCTTTAATACGTTTTTATCGACGTAAAGAGTAGATAGGAGCATACGAAAACTTGGATTTTCACAATACAAAAAACAAACAAAGTGGTTTTTAATACTTTGACGTCTCCTATGTTTCGCCTTCTGTATGAAAAGACAGAGCAAAGGAGGTCATTGAGCATTCAAAAATCTAAAAATGAAATAACAATGCTCTAACTAATCATAAGTTATTTTGCTGGAAAAGTGAAAAGAGACAAGTTTTGTGTTGGTATAGTGTCACACTATCAACATTGTTGTAAATTCAAACTTGGTTAGGTGCTCGAAAAACGAATTTAATCGAGTTAAAGTATATTTACCTTAAAATATATTTACTCGAAAAACGAATTTAATCCCATTTCTACCTTTATTTTTTGCCCTTTTCTTTAAGTCCAACAGGTAGAAGGAATCGAGTGAAGTCCAAACGGGCTCACGTTTTCTTCATAGGCCCGTTAGTATCAACTCATTGTTTTTTACTGTGTTATGAAGAAAAAAATGGGAAAATTATATGTTTGAATTCGAACATACAGATGCCCTTTTAAAAGCCCAGTTTTTGTTTAGCCCAATAACAAAATAATGGGATAGAAGCAGATATGGACCAAACCAGATCATTAAACGAACCAAACCAAACCAAACCAAACCAAACCAGGATAAAATTCGGCTGTACTAAACCGTTTTCCTTTGTGGACAACAAGATAGCGATTGCGACGCATTGATTTCTTCAGAGATTATCTTCTAGGGTTTCTAGGGTTTGGAGACGTATATGCTTGGCCACCACATAATTAATATATTTCTCTATACGTACGTTAAGATTAGTATATAGCTTAAAAAATCTTAGAAAATCCGATTTAATGAATGAAAAGTATATATGTGATAATGATGTAAAGATTAGATGATAATATCAAAGAGAAAGAGAGCTCACATCACACAGATCAATATATGTCACAAGACAGATTGATACGGTGGTGAAGATCAGAGAGGTAATGGTCCCTTTTGGGAAATTTTATTATATAGAAGAAACCAAAAAAAGAGACAAGTCATGAAAAGTACCAAATGTTGGACATAACCCCAATTTTACTGACATTCATATATATAGATATACATTCAGTCTCATATGTATGTCTAAATATGTGTCTTGTTCCTCTCAAAGTGTCACTTGGTGAGAATTTGTGATCCCTATGCCGCATACGTATCCCATCTCTCTATCGTTTATTTTTCTCATGCCACTTCTGTTTTTTTCCTTAATACATATCTATCTATCTGATTCTTTCTTACTTCATTTATTGTGATTCAGATTCTGTTCTTTGTGTAAGTTTCCCTCTTGCCCTTAGCTGTGTTTCAATGGTTGCAACTAGCTAGGGCTTATAGTTGTTGATGGACACCCGTTGAAACGGACCGGAGTTAGATTAAGTTTTTCATGCTTCTGAAAATTACATACGTTACTTTTACTTGGTCCAAAATCATACATGTTTGATCTTACAATAGGCAGCTTTTATTTACTCGTTTCAGATTTTCTTTTCTGTTCAATTATGAGAGTTTGTAAGAAAAGACATCCAAACTATTTCGCATGATAATTGTCAGAAGAAAGGTCTAGAGCCTACTTGTTTAGTCTGTCTGAACTTCTTTAGATATACTTTTAAGTAACTTAAAGTTTAGTTGTTTTTTTACCATTTAGTTACCCAGAGGTAAAAATTTGAACATGTGGTGGGGCTACGTATTAGCTGCGATAATTGGATGTATGTGCATAAAGCAAGTTGTAGCTAAGGAACTTTCAAAGGTGATAGATCCTCGCTTTTTTCTTTTGTTTGTTTTTGATCCGTGTATTGATTTTTAGACTTTTTGTCCCTGCTCTAAAATTAGATATGGATCATAATTCACATTGTATAACAATAATGATGTTCTTTAAATCATCTATCAAGCCCTTAATCTTTAGAATGATATTCTTCTTTTTGATCAAATCTCCTTCATCTTCACCGAACTTTACTCGAATCTTGATGCTCATTATAGCAAACTTCAATTTATGAAATTTGGAAATAGTAGAGTTACCAGTTTGCGGGAATGAATCCTAAGCGATAATCAATCATTAAGTCTCATTTGCACATAAAATCAAACTTCGAAAGCAAATTGGAAACTAAACAACTTTTTAGAACATTTAGTAGCTAAACTCATGAAAGTGAAATATACAAATAATGAGATACAATATATATACAACTAAAAATGTATGTGCAGGGGGGTCCTGAGTGACCTGTAAAACTTGATCAGAAGGAATTGAATGGTTTTGGCGAATACTAAGGTGGGGATGTTTTCTTCCTTTGCCATTCTAAACCTATCTCTTGTCTTCTCTGAGTTCGCTTCCGCTCAGTTATGATTCCCCTCTCTCCAGGACTGACTCTCTCTCTAAGAATGATTATTGATAAATCACATGCCTTGGAAAGATCAAGTGTTAAACATATATCATATATACTAGTATAATTTGTCTGTGGTCTTTTAACATATGATTGATATATATAGAATATGTAAATAGTTAACTAATCACCAAACTTTTTGATAGAAATGACCGATAAACCTCATTGAATCTATTTTGGAGGTCCTGTTTATAGTTTCTTTGGGGGTATTTATCGAACATTTTCCAACCTTTGCAATGATTAACCATTAAGAAAACAACGAATCAATGACGATAGTGAATGGATTCACGATGATGTTTCGTAAGGTTGATCAATTAACAGATCTTGATCATTCAAGTACGTACATTAGCTTTATCTTCATAAGAAAATATATACCTGATATATATTTAGGATTTTCTTAATAGAATTGCTAAAATTGATACAACGACCGTACTGAAAAGTTACTTTACTTGTTAAACTTGTAAATCTAGTAGTCATTAACCAAATGCTAATTGTCTAATGCTTTTGTCGTCTTGGTTAATCCGGACTACGATAATAATCACTTTTAGATCATAAAAAGGCTAATTAACTAGCAATTAAAAAAAAAAAAAAAAACTAAGGAGTTCTCGATCATATACTGACGACACATGCACGTAGTATTATTGAACCGGGAATCAAAAGAATTTCTTATCTTCGTGCATAGTTCTTTATTCATCACATGATCACTTAGGACCTGATCTAACTTTACCCTAAATTTTTAGATCATCCAGATGAGCCAGTTGCAACGCATCATTTGATCATTATCATGATATGTGTGGCTCTTGTTCAAGTAATTACTATTATTATTATCTACTTATTATTTGTTATATGGTTGTTTTTCTCTCTTTTGTATGGTAACGAAATATTACAGATAGGATTACTTGTGTTTGGGGTCGTCCACTACCATTCCTACACTCATTTGTCTCATGTGTTTGTTTTCAGATGGACTCACGTGAACCTCTTAATTTATTACTTTTGGTTTGTGTTTTCCTCCACAGTTTGACAACGTCGATAAATAATTATTCACAAAATAACTATTAATAAGTTTTAGATCTCGACCGTTGTAGTTCGAATTAAGCAAATTTAACCAGCAGTACACTAGTAGCTCAATCGATTATCTAAACTTAAGTATAGATCTCAACTATAATTCTATTATTTACCATTATCTCTTACAATTTCTAACCATATCAGTCTCGAAACATGGCCATTTATTACTTCCTTGCGTAAGTATATAACACTGGCATCTGCCCTAAATTTTCTAAGGATCCATTTTCCTAAAAATGTTATATTATACATTAAAACCCTAATAAATATGAGATTTCTTTTAGTTAGCAAGACACTTATTAATAATGATATGTACTACATGATTCATTTATATATGTATCTTCCACCAAATCATTTTCCCAAATTTATAAACATAAAGTAAGAAGTGAACCCCCAAAAAATACAAGAAGTAAATATAACTACTCATCAATTCCCTTCAGAAAAGTAGTTTTTTTGTTTTGTTTATGTATTGAGAAATGGTATTTGTATGTCGGAACAATATCCCTAAATGTTTAAAACGATTAAGAATACATTTGGCTTCATATAAACAAAATGTATGTCTTGATTTGTTTTTATTTTTTGCTTAATACCTTAATTCTTTTAGATTTTTGATATTTTATACATCATACATGGCACACAAATTAAATAATGGTTATCCCATATTTTCTAAATTCTTCGAATTAATTATTATTAGAATTAATATGTGTGTATATATATACACATATATAGTCACACATATACACAAACATTTGTTTGTGCTCGTGGTCTATATATTGCCTCTAAAAAGGGTCAAACATAGTATAGCTTGGATCCTTCTTTACTTGTCCCCTGATCTCTCATAATCTCTCGTCTTCCCTCTCTTTTGTGTTTCATCGATCTCTATCGGTCATGGGTTCGAATTTTCATTACACTATAGATCTCAATGAAGATCAAAACCATCAACCTTTTTTCGCTTCTCTTGGATCCTCTCTTCATCATCATCATCATCATCATCAACAACAACATTTTCATCACCAAGCTTCTTCTATTCCCTCTTCTTCGCCGTCTCTTTCCTACTTCCCTTTCTTGATCAACGCTCACCAAGATCAAGTATATGTTGGGTACAACAATAACACTGTTCATGATGTTCTTGATACCCATCTCTCTCAACCTCTCGAGGTATAAGTTCAAATAAATTTTATGTCAATATTAACTCTTGATGATCCTAGAGAAATTTATACAAAATAAAATGAACAAATCTCTAATTGTATATGGTTTATATTCATATGGAAATTTCAGACCAAGTTTGTATCTGATGGTGGTTCATCATCAAGTGATCAAATGGTGCCAAAGAAGGAGACACGACTAAAATTGACGATAAAGAAGAAATATAATCATCAAGACCAAACCAATCTTCCTCAATCCCCGAATAAAGATAAGGGAGGAACTAATTCGCTCAAGTGGATATCTTCGAAGGTGAGATTGATGAAGAAGAAAAAGGGGATTATTACCACCACCGACAGCAACAAACAACACGCTAATAACGACCAATCCTCAAACCTAAGCAATCTGGAAAGACAGAATGGTTATAACAACAATTGCGTGATTAGGATTTGCTCCGATTGTAACACAACCAAGACTCCTCTTTGGAGAAGTGGTCCGAGAGGTCCCAAGGTAATTAACCACACGTCTGTTAATTAAACATATATGCCTAAGTTTTTTTTTTGGTTTTAATGTTAAAAATATATGCCTAAGTTTAATGTCCTATTGATTAGCAGAAGCTCACGAAGAAATAATGTCTTTTTTATAGTACTAATTAATAGCAAATAAAAAATAATACAAATCTCTAACTGTTAAAAACAATTTCATGTAGTATTCTAACTAGGTTTAATCAGATCTCTTAAACTTCGAGATCTTCTAAAAATCATGTTACAAGATAATTAACTAAATTATCAATTTTCTTGTTGTTATCACAGTCTCTTTGTAACGCTTGTGGAATAAGGCAAAGAAAGGCGAGGCGGGCCGCTATGGCCACGGCAACTGCAACCGCAGTCTCTGACGTATCGCCACCGCTCATGAAGAAGAAGATGCAAAACAAGAACAAGATATCAAATGGAGTTTATAAACTCTCCTCTACTTCGGCCCTAAAGGTAAACAAGTGTAAGAGAATGATCACACTAGAGGAGACCGAAGCAGCCGAGGATTTGGAGACTCAGAGCAACTCCACGATGTTATCACCTTCTTCATTTTCAGACAAGATTGATTTCGATGATCTAGCAATAATATTGAGCAAAAGTTCAGCTTATCAGCAAGTTTTCCCTCAAGACGAGAAGGAGGCTGCCATTTTACTAATGGCTCTATCGCACGGAATGGTTCACGGGTGATTATTTTATAACTTACCTGCTTAAGAAATTAGGGAGCTACAGTACTCTTCTTATAAACCATACCATAATCTCTCATAACTAGATAATTTTTTTTTGATTAAATTTTGTTCTTGCGGTGATATATATAGATATCAGTCAGTCCAACTTTATAATAAGAGAATGTTGGGGTTTACTAGATTTTGTATGGAAGGCTTGTGTTTTTTTATGGAACTTGATATCCCGAGAATGTGGTTATTTCTAAGATTTGAGAGTTGATATAAGCATTACTTTAATTAGTCAATATCTCGTCAATTTTTTTATTTGATGAAACTCTTTTGGGATCTAAACGGTTTGAAGCAAAGATAAACTCTAACAAGATGATGATTTATTGTAATATAACTAACTTAACTACCTAAATAATATATACATATAATTTTTTCAATTCTCCTGGATACAATTGTTAGAAAACAGAAAATTCGGAAAAATGAGAAAATCACCAAAACTAAAGGGGCTGTTTTGAAATTCGTTTGATACTTTTTCCGGGGAAAATTAGAAAGCGAAAACAGAACAAACAAAATGTCTCCGACGACGACGACATCGTTACGATCCCTAAGCTTCTCGCTTTACGCTTCTTCTAATTGTAATCCGAGTCCTACACCAATTGAGATCCGACAGTTTCTGAGTTCATGCAATAAATTCTACGGTCTGTCCTCTTCGAGCTCTTCTTCCTCCCTTACTTCTACTCCGATCGGAAATCTAGTTTTCTCATCAAGGAAGCAGTTTCTCTCCTTAAAGGTACCCACTTTCGTAAATTTTTGTGCTGGTTTTCAACTTAATGGCCTAAATTCGAGAACCCATGTTCCACTTATTGAGAATCTGCTAAATCTTATGTCACTTGTAGTCGATTGGGAAATTAGGGTTTTCTTTATTGATTGTGATTACTCTTTATGTGGTGTTTTTGGTCCACTGGAAGATGTTTTAAGTTAGGTCTCTCAGCCACATAGGCGATTACATAACACCTATCTCTTTATGAGTGTTTGGTGTTGTAATATAGAGTGTTATTGTATTTGTGGCTAAGAGATGGAAATGTATGCGTGTGTTTTGGGATAGGTCCAAGCGTTAGCTGCTGAAACCGAACAGCCAAAATGGTGGGAGAGGAAAGCAGGGCCAAACATGATTGACATTACCTCAACTGAGCAGTTTCTGAACGCGTTAAAAGATGCCGGAGAAAGATTAGTTATCGTGGATTTTTATGGAACTTGGTGTGGTTCTTGCCGTGCAATGTTCCCAAAGGTAATTTCCCGTTAGCTACTTAACGATTGTATATCTTCGTGTATACTCGATCATCTCTCATTTCATTCAATTTGGGTGTCTTGAACCACAATGTTTCTTAAGTTCGCTCAAATTGTCGGCTTGCTTATTTCTTATTCTTTTCCAGCTCTGCAAAACGGCGAAAGAACACCCTGAAATCTTGTTCCTTAAAGTAAACTTTGATGAGAACAAGTCTCTCTGCAAAAGCTTAAACGTCAAGGTGTTACCATACTTCCACTTCTACCGCGGTGCTGATGGCCAAGTCGAATCCTTCTCATGCTCTCTTGCCAAGGTTAGTTCTTATTGTCCCAGCTTTCTTTAATTTCAAATGTCACTTGTCTATCATGAAAGCAGAGTATAGCCACTGCATTGTATAGTCTTAATGGCGACCTCTAAGTCTAATAAGCTTCTGCAAACATTTATGCAGTTCCAGAAACTGAGAGAGGCGATAGAGAGACACAATGTTGGAAGTTTCAGTGACATCTCTTCTTCAGCTTCTGAGAAAGTTGAAGATTCAAGTGAATAATCATTGTCTGGTTCTGATTGATCAAAGATTCTTTTGTTAACTCGCTTCCTTGTATATATGTTGACTGCATTTTGCATATGGTGCATTCTAATTTTTGTATAAAAGAAAAAAAAAATAGTCTAACTTCGAGTTCATCTACTCATCTATGTTATTTTTTCTCGTCTTTCTCGAGTTTAAAGAATTCTTTATCAAAATAAATTAATATGGTGTATGTATAAATTATAGATGTGGGATTGGCTTTTTTTTTGGTCAACATCATTAATTAATAGATCATAAAGAAAAAATAAATCTTATTTAAAAAATAGACTCAAGTACAAGTAGTATCCAACGGTGGTCAATTTGAGACTATTGATTCCAACGCCTTCAACTATTCATTAGCAGAGTCGAATTCAAATTTGAAAAAGAAATCTGTAAATTCTCCATTTTTAACGGTCAAACTCTCAAGTCTGATCAGAAACGAGAACAGAGAAAAAGAGATTAGATTTTGGTTCACCATGTTTAAGAGAGACGACTACATTCGAACTAATCACGACGCCGTCTCTTCCAAGTGGCAGGTACTCTCTAAAGAATTTCCTCTCGGATTTCAAGAATTTTAGTGATTCTGGGTTTAGGGTTTTGCTCCATCTTTCATTCCTTGGAAACCCTTTCGATATCAACAGAATTTTGATTGACTTTGAATGAATTCTCTTGGAAATTTGATATAAAGATCCCATTTTTAACGCCTACGACACTTTTCTTCAAAGTTTCTTTGTTGGATCTCCGGAGATTCTGAGTAATTTCATTTGATTTTTCAGGGTTTCGCCCGATCCATGCTTCTGCGTAAACCCATTTCAGAAACTGCAGAATTACGCAAGACTTTTGCCGACTACTCCTTAATTTCTCGAGATTTAGCTCCAAAGGTCTCATTTTTTATTTCCTTCATCACATTATAACTTGTATCTTTTGTTGGATAGTAGTTAACTAGGTGGCTTAGTCTCATGTTTATCATCAAGATAAGCTCGAAGTTGGAAAAACACATTTTTAATGTCAAACTTATACTTGAACACAGATTCTGATAGGAGCCAACGATAAGAAAAATTTCAGAAAAGGGAAAGATCTTGTAGGTAGATACAGAGTCCAAGGAGCCTTCCCGGGTCTGTATGAGCTCGGTCATGACCATGGCCGAAAAGATGATGTTCTTGTGGCTAATCTTGGTCAACCTGAAAGCATTAGATCTCGGCTCCGGTCTTTTACTAGATCTTTTGCTCATCATCACTTGCTTAAGCAGGGTTTGTCTCAAACAATTCTTCCTACTACTCAGAACAAAAGTAGCAACCGAACCGAAGAGAAGGAGTCTGATTCTGCAGAAGAGAAAGAGGTCAGTTCTGATGCAGCTGAGAAGGAGAGTAACTCTCTTCCATCTATACTTAGACTCAGTCAGTCCAGACCTCAACCGGTTTCAGAGAGTTCTGCAGAAGAGAGAGAGGTCAGTTCTGATGCAGCTGAGAAAGAGAGTAATTCTCTTCCATCTATACTTAGATTTAGTCGGTCCAGACCTCAACCGGTTTCAGAAAGACATGATGACATAGTTGATGGGTCTGACTCTGCTTCTGTTTGTGGAGTCTTACTAGAAGATGGTACTCCTTGCACTACAACTCCAATCAAAGGAAGAAAGAGATGCACAGAGCATAAAGGAAAGAGACTTTCACGTGTTTCCCCCGAAAATCATATACCGTGTGAAGTTCCTACCGCAAGAGAATCTAAAGAAACTGAGGATATATGTGGAGTGATTTTACCTGACATGGTACGTTGCAGAACAAAACCTGTTTCAAGGAGAAAACGATGCGAGGATCACAAGGGAATGAGAGTTAACGCCTTCTTCTTTCTGCTGAACCCAACAGAACGTGATAAAGCCGTCAAAGAGGATAAATCCAAATCCGAGACATGTACACGCATGAACCAAGAAGATTCAAGCCCGGGTCTTTTCTGTGAAGCTACAACAAAGAATGGTTTGCCTTGTACGAGAAGTGCTCCTGAGGGAAGCAGAAGATGTTGGCAGCACAAAGATAAAACGTTGAACCACGGATCATCCGAAAATGTTCAGTCAGCAACTGTAAGTCAAGTAATTTGTGGCTTTAAGCTGTACAATGGATCGGTATGCGAGAAATCTCCAGTGAAAGGACGGAAGAGATGTGAGGAGCACAAGGGGATGAGAATCACATCTTGAATTCAAAGCATTAGAGTAACTCCTTTTGTAAGTACCTAACCAAAATGTTATGTACCGAGCCCGTTTGGTATTGGTAAAATCTGTTGATTTACCGTATCATACGTTAACTCTAGATAATAAGGTTGTATGAATTAACTAAGTAGGTGCAAGTTAATCGAACCAAATATGCATTTCTGTAAGAAGCTCATTGTTCTCCATTAATGTCTCTATAATAAACTTTGTTGCTTTCTGCCATAATGCAGAATCTGCTGCAAACAAGCTCAATAGTCAATACTCATATGTGTAGTTTTTCAGCCTATCAACTTCTGTCTTCTTTCTCATCAATATTCAACATTGATACACATTTGTTTTTAGTAAGCATCACCCTAGAACTTAATGGACCGCCTTCTCGTTGTTTGCCACATCTGCTTTTGTCTACTGATTCTGTTGTGTTGCCTTGACACTTGAAAATCATCTGCAGAACCATTCTAAGTCATAGCAAATTACCAATCTGAGGGGTCCTGTTACTTTAGGATCCTGAACAGAAATAGTAGAGATGATGTGTTTGCACTGTTTCAACCTGCAAGATAGAACTGGGAAATTTTCTTCTGCAATTTGTCTTTTCGGGTTAAGAAACCGATGAGCATGAAAATATATAGAAATCCTGAGAATCAACAATTCATCAAAAATCTGTGTCTCTCACTATTTCTTAAGGTAAGATACATCAAGTATTCAACAAAATTCCTGAATGAACAAAACCTATAAGCAATTCTGTATTTACATAAAGGTCCTAAAGTATTCGATTGGAATTCTGACACTGTTTATTTGGAGGAATGTAAGCTTCAAATTCCTCTACGAAAAAAATGGAATGTACAATCTCTTATAATAATCTGTGGTTTTAAACACCACAAAGAATCAGATCATATGATGATCTTAGAATTAGGTGAAAACTTTCCTTTTCTGTGTCGTCACAGCTTCTGCCTCAGGTTCCTCTCGCGGCGGGACTCTTAAGTGCAGCTTCATAATATCATACACTGTGAATCCGATTGCCACGGACGGTACAACCTAAAGAAACCCGAAAGAAAAAGTGTTAGTAACTTAGTTGTCCATAGTCCGAAAACAAAGATAGATCAATGAAACTACTCACAAACCTTAAGGTAATTGATGCTAAGCCCAGAGAAGAGTTGCTTCCAACCTTCTTCTCTTGCAATCTTGAAAAGGGTTTGCATTGTTCCTCTTCTTGTTTCTTCCTTAACGGCAGAATATAGTCTCTCAACCTGCAGGGAGTTTCGGTTATAATACTACCCAGGATCATTATATGAGGGTTCAAGGATTTGTTCAATAGAAGTAGAACCAGATAAAACCTGCATTTGTCTCCTGACAACATCGAGAGGGTATGTTAAGGTCTGACCAAGCAATCCAGCGACCGAACCACATACGAGTTTCAGGGAAATGTCTTTCTTATGTTCAGGTGGGACATGGCGTTTCATCTCCTCGTAGAAGTAGAACTTCAAACCAGCATAAGGGAAGATCCCATACAGAGAAGGAGCTGAATCACAAGCAACCAAAGAAAGATCAAATCTTTATTGAGCCTTCGAGAACGATCTAAAAATCCAACGATGTGGTTAGTATGTACCTACACCACGATATAGGCCACGGAATCCAGATTCTCTGTATGTCCTCGAGAAACAATCGGTAATTCCTCTGTAAATGATTTGTTCCACGGGAATAGATTTTACCTGCGCCTTTGCTGAACCAACAACCTGCACTGCTGAACTCTCTATGAGCCTACTACTTATGTTTTATCTCGAGATGAGACATAAAAACACAAGATCTGAAGCAGGATTACCTGATAAGCGAGCTTTGTCCGGACCAGGTCAAGAGGATAAGTGAAGAGAACCGCAGTACCACCAGCAAATGATCCAGCTACAAGATCAAGCAAAGGACCCCGTGTAGTGTCTGGGAAACCGAAAATGATCCATCTCCTGTATTCCTCATAAGCCATATAATGAAGGGCTGCATAGGGAACTATCCGAGCAACACTTGCACCATTCCCTCTGTTCGAAAACCGAAAAAGAGCTTAAGAATCTCATGACTGAACAAGAGCCCAAAACGCATCTAAAACTCAAGACAAACGTACCGGTAGAAACCCATCAAACCTTCAGTTTTGCCAATCTTGTTGATTGATCCAACAAGTCCTATCCTTTTAAACTCGTCCCTTCTCGTCTGACAAAGAGATCAATACATGATCATGAGCTTATAATTCAGTAATTGTGTAACAAGAATTTGACTGTGTCTTTCTCTATAGAAAAAAAAAAGATTCCAATTGAGAATACAACACTAAAGCTCTCTAATTTCGATGCTTGAACCCGAGTACATGACTCAGGGGACAAATCAATCTTAGTTCTGTAGAAAAAACCCGTAATGATTTGGTACCTGGAAAAGAATCTTAATTCGCTCGAGTGGAGCAACGGCAGTTTTAGCTATACCGCCGGTGACGCCGCCGGCAATAAGCTCCTTAGCGAACAAAGGCATCGAATCAATAATTCCGATCTTCTCTTCGCCCTCCGCCATCGAAATAGAGGTGGAGAGAGAAAAGATAGATACGGTTTAAATGGATCTTCTTCTTCTCCTCCTCCTTTTACCAATCTTTGTACAGTTGAAGCTGAAGCTGAAGCTGGAGGAAGAAGAAGAAGAAAATAAAATTGAGAGAGCGAAAAACAGAATTGTTCTTTGTGATCAATCAAAAGACTTTGTTTATGTCTGATTCTCACCTTCTCCTCCAAGTTATGCAAATTATTCTCCTTTAATTAGTGGAAATTATTATTAACTATGATTTTAATTTTTATATTAACTATAATTTCTGCTATTGCTTGCGTTATTTTTATTTTCATTCTTGAAGATTCGAAGTTGAGACGATTATGCTCCTTTTTAATGTCTCCAAGACTTCAAGTAGTGACGATTAGACTCTGAATGGTTTACTTTACTCTAAATCCATCAAAACATATTGTAAATAATGATATTGTATCTTTGAACGAGTACCAATCAAACTTATTTTGAAGACATTACAAATCTGAATCTAGATGACCATAAACAGGATAAATGTATATCGACGTTAGTCTTTAAAACACAAGAGATACAATATCAATTATAATGTGGAAGAGTTTAAAGTAAACTTCCAGAAGGAACTTCACATACTTGTTGTTAGCTCCAGAGCAATTACATAGTCAAAACTCCTGTGGACGAATTACTTATGTGCCTCGACGACCTTAGAGTAAAACACCCATGACTCGTGTGTCTCAGTTATGGCAGTCTGACCGAATGGATTCTCCGCTACAAACTTCTGAACGTTCTCTGCATCTGCTAATCTTTCAAGATACTTCCTTAGCTCACCCTCAGGTCCTGTCACAATAAATCAAACATCAGTGTGCCATTGTTCTTAGCATTTGATAGAAAGAGAATGTTGAGAACCAATATGTTTGCTTTGCTGTTGAGAAATTTGATAATGTAAAGACTAACCCAATGCAGAATCTTGACGGTCTGTGTACTGGTACGGGGAAGGGAAGATTCCAGTATGTGGCTAAAAGAGAAGAAGAGCAATACCAAACGATGTTGAGGTTAAAAGTGACATTGAATGCATAAGCCTATTTGCGAGTGCTCGAGTACTTACAGGATTACACAAGGCCTTGTCAGGGGAATCGTCAACTAATAAAGTATTTGTCTCATCGTACTTTCGCTTTCCACAACTGGTGCATGTCCCAAATTGGTCCCATACTGTTCGTAGATCCTTGAGGAACAGAGGTTTATCGTTCTTCTCCTGAGTTTTAAACTTCGTTGTAGTGCACTTGTTCTGATCCTGTGTACATTATCAAGACTAGGATTGCTGAGTTCATTAGCTAGTTTTTGGACCAAAATTTAGAATGATTTCTGCTCGTATGTAAACTACATATCTCATAGTCAAAGAAATGCAGGTTACATAGCTTATAAAAGATTGTAGTACTGTGTTACTACAATCTCAATGTCAACTGCATTTCTCATAATCTAGTTCTGTCATATGGAAACTGCATTTCTCATCATCTCTACTCTCAAAATCTAGAAAATAGCTCATAGAGATTTAGAGATCACTTACAAAACAGAACAACAGATTCCTCGAATAGTTTTTCATGACAATGCTCACCATATAATCCAACCCACTAGTAAGAGGAAAAGGAGAGATGGAGTTAATTGACGAATTAAACTTCTATATGTATAAGACATGTAACTAAGAACACCAAAAAAACAATGCATTTGTGTTTTTAATCAGTTCAAGAAGCTTACACGCGTCTGGAGGACCATATCGCAACATGAAATCTCTCAAAGCAAAAGTCGAGAAAACTGGAAACAAAAGGCCTCCTGAAGACTATAGAAAAAGAACAAATGAATTAATCTGCAGTGGAAGAAGTACGTCTTACAAGTGACCATATTGAAATTGATTCTTTCTTACCTGATCTGTATGATACTTTACCATCTGGAACGAATGGACCTGTAAACCCCTGAACAATATCTGCAAGGATTCCATTCAAATCAAGTACAAGCAACTTTCTGGTACGTTGACCTGCACATGAGCATCTAGGTACATCTCCAGTTTCTGATGAAGCAACTCCTTGAGCCACATTATTTTGTATTAAGACAGAACTTGACAAAGACGTTTCAAGCTTTTCCCCGTCAAATTTTGGTTCTGCATCTTTACAAGGTAAGGAAACATCATCCTTCTCCTCCATATCATCAGTTTTATGATCTAAAGAATTTTTCTTCTTCTTGCTCATCTTTGTTTTGACCTCAACCTTGCAAACACCTTCTGCTCCCAAAGCATTATTCTGATCAACTTCTCCCTTATTCTCATTTTCCTTTTGACTGTCCTCCATATTGTCAGTTTTATGATCTGATGAATTTTTCTTCTTCTTGCTTTTCTTTGTTGTGACCTCAACCTTACTAACACCTTCAGCTCCCAAGGCATCTTGATCAACTTTTCCCTTTTTATCTTTTTTCTTTTTTTTGGTATTTTTAACACTCTGAACACTGACCCCCTTACTTGCAGAATCTTCAATGTTACTAGCCAAATCCTTACTGGGAATCTCCCCATCAGCATTCCCGTCACAATTTTTCACACCTTCTCTACTTGATTGATGCAACAAACACTGTACTGACTCGCTATCCATGGTGGTTACTGATTCGCAATTTGTTTTCTTCTTCATCTTCCTCTTCTGTCTTTTGCGCCCAACATCACTAACATCTTCTGCTCCTAGTGCATCCTGGTTAGATTCAATATTTTCATCTTTTGTCATTTCTTTACATTTTCCAGATTTCTGAACTTCGCTTTTCTCTCCCGTTGCAGATTCTTCAATTTTACTTGTCTTATCCTCTCCCCCAAACTCTTTTCCGGCATTCTCATCACAATTTTGCATGACATTTTCGTTTGAATGATCCAACAAACACTCTACTGATCCTGATGGCTCACAGACCTCCATATCTGTAGTTTTGTGATCTGCAGATGATGTTTTCTTCTTCTTTCTCTTCCATTTTTTGCTACTTACATCACATACACCTGCTCCAAGAACGTCCTCTTTGACTTCAGTGTTTTCATCTGTTTCCGTCTCTTTAGTTATTCCAGGATTCTGAAAACCACTTTCCTCCCCAGTTACAGAATTTTCCTTCTGACTTGCTGAATAACTAATTAACTCTCGGCCACCATTCCCATCATTATTTTCCACACACTCTACTGGCCCGCTTTTCGTGGAGGTTGACAAAGTATTTCCTAACGGGTCACAGTCCTCCATTGTTTCGGTCTTTCTCTTCTTCCTTCTCTTGGCTTTAGGATTCTGAGTTTGGACCACAGTTTCATTGAGTTTGACATCTGTGCACTCTTGTTGTTCCACTGTATCATCCTTCAATTTCGGACGACTACTTATCACAACACTAGCAACGGATTTTTCCTCTTTAGTCATCGATCTTGATCCTTCAGCTCCAGAAATAGTATCGTATTTAACTTCAATCACGTCCTCTTTAACTTCAGTGGTTCCATCTGTTTCCTTATTCCCATCATTATTTTCCACACACTCTACTGGCCCACTTTTCGTGGAGGTTGGCAGAGTATTTCCTAATTGGACACAGACCTCTATTGTTTTGGTCTTTTTCTTATTCCTTTTCTTGGCTTTAGGACTCTCAGTTTGGGACACAGTTTCATTGATTTTGACGTCGTTGCCCTCTAGTTGTTCCACGGTATCAACTTTGGATTCAGGACAACTATTTATCAAAACACTAGCAATGGAGTTTTCCTCTATACTCATCGATCTTGATCCTTCAGCTTCAGTAATAGTATTGTATTTTACAGCAACCTCTGCATTGGTACTATTAGTATCAACACCACTTTCCTTCAGCTCGTTTCTACCTCTCTTCTTCTTTCTCTTTTTCTTCGGGGAACTAGTCATATTAGTAGCATCTGGCTGTGAATCTTCGCAGGTTGACAGATTTGGATCTGTACAAAGTTGTGCCGCTCTAGGCTTCTCAGATGAATCCTGAGTGTGTTCATGTGAACCTTCTTGTATTATACCGTTTGACAAAGGATTGTTGGGTGGATGAACTTGGACTTCGTTGGTGATTTTTTCTGCATCATCCAACATTTTCTCGTCACAGGAAGCGTCCTCTTTCTTCTTCTTCTCTCTCCTTTTTGATTTTTTTCTACTGGAACCCTTCCTATTAGCATCTGGTAGTGAATCTTCACATGAGATTGGGTCTGTATGATGTAGTGTAGCTCCAGGCTCTTCACATGAGATTGAATCTCGTTGACAGGACTCTGAAGGTAATGAAGACAAAACATTCTCGGATAACTGGACTTGATCTTCACTGGTGGATTTCTCTTTTCCCCCTTCTTTAATCACTTCAGATGAAAAGGTCTCATCTGCGTTCCCAATTTGGCTACTGATATGAGAATCATTATTCTTCAACTCATCTTCCGGTTTCCTCGATTTCCTCTTCTTTTTCCCCGATCTCTTCTTCTGCTTATCACTCAATTCTGGATTTGTCTGACAGTCACCAGTTTCTGAAAGTGTTTCCACTGGAACACTCTCCATGATTCCTTTGATTTAGTCGGAAATCAGCTGCAAATTCAAAACTAGCAAGGGAAACGTTTTCTTTAAGTTTAGCACAAGTGATGATTCACAAAGAAGAGATAGATTAAGATGCCTCACATAAATCCACCAAACGCTAGCGCTATAATACCTAAACAGAGCTCCATCCATCAATCTCTAGGTGATTAAAAACTAAGCCATAGAGACTTATGTATTAAATGTGAACCAAACCATTCCAACCAAAGCTTTATTAAAAGAAGCAGCCATCCAGAAAAATACGCACATTCAAAATACCATTGTTCATGAAAAGATAAGTGGCAGTGTTCTTATTCCCTAAAACACCAAAACGCTGCTTAACAAAAACCATTAACTAGAGAACCACTTCTTAAGAGAGAAAAAAAAACGAAAACTGCCAGATTCAATCGACCTGAGGATATTCCACATAAATAATGGCAACCCAACCGCAACCGCAACCTTAAACCCACAAGTTTTAGTAACTTTTCAACACTGGGTCAGATCTTAAATTTGAATTTGGAAAACAAAAATCACCCTCGAAGAAGAGACGGACATGGCAAGGTCTCAACCGAAATTAGAGCACAGGGTAATGTCTCAAAACCGACCAGGAGATTTCTCAGGCGACGCTTAATACAAAGAAGAGCAGAAGAAGAAGATTAGATTACCTGGAAAGTTTCAAATTGGCCAAGAGTGTCTCTCTGAAGAAGACGAAGAGGCGCGGCGAATTCGATAAGCAAGGGTTAACTGAATCTTCGTTTGTGTTACAACTAATAAACCGCTCCGGTTTAAATTGAAAACCCAAAACATTATCGATAACCATTCAGGTTTACAATAATGACTCCAACTAAAATGTTTGTGAATCACACAACTAAAATGTTTAATTTAATCAAACTATTTAGGCCCATATATTTGGCCCATTTAGAAATAGACAGTTTGGAGTTTGGACTTAGCTTCTTCTTATAGATGATAGTTTTGATTCTGAGTAATTTTTTGATTCAAAATGAGCAAACTAACATCTTTCTTGGTTGGTTCTGTTCATCAAATTAAAAATTTACTCAGAATATTGACAATCAAATTCAAAGTCATACAAAAAGTTCGTGGCTCACGTTTAATTCATACAACTAAATGGTATTTTTTGTCAACCAAGCATGCAAAAAAATTGATTTAAGAGCCGCAAAATAGTTTTTATCTTTTTGTAACCCACAAAGTTTTGAATTTAAGCTCCTTGCATACTGTATATTTGACTAAAAGAGAGAACCCTGAAGATTTTGATAAGGCCATGAGAGTTGTGTTTTCGAGTCTTCAGTATATCTGAAGAAGAAAGGTAACAAAATACCTTATCTCTCTATATAGAAATTTTCCAAACACACATGTTTATTAAAGTAACATAATGGGTTATTGTATAACTTCGGTATTTGAAATTATCTGTCAATAAATCTGTAAAGCAACTTGGACATTTAAAACTAAGTTGCACGCGTAGCAACAATTTTAATCTATCACATGCTTTATCTGCATCTGTATAATAACCACATTTAAACACAATTGGGCAAATTGGAGTTACTCTAAACCAGACACAGCTATAATCGTAACGTTTTGGTGATTCTTTTTTTTTTTTGGTAAAATCGTTTTGGTGATTCTTCTCATTTCTAAAGCTTCATATTTCGATAACCGTTCAATAAAAACTTATTGGTCAATCAGTGAGTAGATTATACATATATACGTGAGAATAGACAGACTGTCGTATTTTACCTTCTTACATTTGTTTATTAAAGTGTTTGTTTTTTCTTTCTTTCGTATTTTTTTATTTATATTTTGGGCATGAGAATCAGTGTCCAAGTGGAACCTATTAGCTATATGTTGGTTGATAATTCATTTTTGTATAGTATCTGCAAAAGTAAAGCTTCATATATATGAGACCCATTCATGCATTATTCAGCAATGATTGAAGATTATAATAAAGTGTACTAGTTAATTATAAGATATTATTACAAAAATTACAACTTGACCATACTCCATGTGTGCTTTTAATTCTCGAGGCACTTTTGTGTTCTTGATTATATTTACAACTAATCTAACAATTATTACACATCCATTTATACATATAAAAAATACAGCCATTTCTGTTGAAAAATTAATGAAGTCCCCAACTGTATATACAAATCCATTTTTCACAAGTTCCAAGACCGTATATGATGTGTATAATACTGATCAGTTGCTTCAGTTTGGACTGATAATGCAAGGGTTAGAATCAAATTTTATGTTGGAAACCTAATGATAAGAAGCCTGTAATGATTTAAGAGAAATTGTTAAAAATGCCCCTTTTTCAATACCCCTTTTCAAAAATGCCCCCTTTGAGAGTCTATTTTTAAGTTTGCCCTCTTTTATTTTTTAATGACCATTTTACCCTTATTTGAAACAAAATTAGGTCCACAAAATACAAAATATTTTTTGGCGGGAAAAGTGATCCCGCAATTTTCCCGCCAAAACACTTGTAAAAAACCTTTAAAATACCTTGTAAAATTTTCCCGTAAAAATTTTTCCCGCCAAAAAATTTTCCCGCCAAAAATTTTTTTTTGCGGGAAAAGTGATTCCGCAATTTTTTTGGCGAAATTGTTTTGGCGGGAAAAATTTACAAGGTTTTTTAAAGGTTTTACAGAGTATTTACAAGTGTTTTGTAAGGTTTTACAATGTATTTTAAAAGGTTTTACAAGGTACTTATAAGGTTTTATAAGGTATTTATAACTTGTAAAACCTTATAAAAAACTTGTAAAACCTTATAACTTGTAAAACCTTATAAAATTGCTTGTAAAATCTTATAATATCTTATAAATACCTTATAAATACGTTGTAAAACCTTTTAAAATACATTGTAAAACCTTATAAGTACCCTGTAAAAAACCTTTAAAATACCTTGTAAATTTTTCCCGCCAAAAATTTAACGCCAAAAAAATTGCGGAATCACTTTTCCCGCAAAAAAAAATTTTTGGCGGGAAAATTTTTTGGCGGGAAAAATTTTTACGGGAAAAATTTACAAGGTATTTTAAAGGTTTTTTACAAGTGTTTTGGCGGAAAAATTGCGGGATCACTTTTCCCGCCAAAAAATATTTTGTATTTTGTGGACCTAATTTTGTTATATTTCCTTATATATTTGTGATATATTTTATTAAAAGAAGGGTAATTTAGTCATTTGTACATAAAAAGGGGTATTTTAAAAAATGGACAGCCAAAGGGGGCATTTTTGAAAAGGGGTATTGAAAAAGGGGCATTTTTGTGAGTCTCCCGTGATTTTATTTCTCCAATTCTTTTTGTTAGCAAAACATGCAATATCTTCTATATAATTAAAATTAAAACTTTTCTAAATCAAACCAATTATAAACAATTCTAAATCAAAACATGCAATATATTGTTTTACATTTTTACTCAAATTCCAGTCCAACCAGAATATGAATATTTTTTTTTCCCAGATGAACCAATTATTCTTAAATTCCTATTTTTTCAGGAAATAGGAATCATTTCTTGATATGTTTTTCACCATTTTGTATTTTTTTCACAGGTTAAAAATTATCAGTTTACTTCAATTTTTGATTTGGTCGAGTGATATATACAAGAAATACATATTTTTAAAAAAAGTAAACGAGTTACCAAATACGCGCGTATTTCAGACTTGGCATTTATATATTTTGGCATTTTAATTTCTTAATTTTTGATTTTAATGAGACAAAAACAAAGTAGTATAATATTTCAAAACGCGTTATGACATGCAAGAATATTCCAAACGTGTTTGTACGAACACGTTGCCGTACTCTGCAACACAAGTTCTCCACTGCCAGTGTTACTTTATCTTTTCAAGTAGTATTATTTGTTTTTCTTATGTATTTTCTATATATATAAAGTATAAACTAAAAAAAACAAGCTGTGAATAGACTTATTTATAAATTCAAATATATAATCTTGACACCTTTTGGTTTTCATTTTGAAAATTTTACTTGCTTGTATAGAACATTTTTATTTTGCTTGTCATGTTTAAAATTAAGGATAAAAGTATTCTTTATTAGTTTAGAATTCTTATATGTTCAAAATTAAGGATAAAATTATTACAGTATTTTCATACAAGGATTAAGGGTATTTCATATAAGCTAATGTGAATATATACACAATATACATGCATGCTCGTGTCTAATTAAAAACTCAATACTCTTCAACTGAAACAAAACATACTACTCCTGTCTAATTTATATTTCTCAGCATATGATAGCGAGAATATGTGCGTCGTTTCTAGTTTTCTATGGTATATGGTAATAATATAACTGAAATTACCATTTTTAACAAAAAATATATATATAACTGAAATTACCCATGAGTACTTAACTTTAGATATGCCGACCTTTGATCAAAAAAAAAAAAAAGATATGCCGACAAAAAAAAAACTTATTAGATATTTATATTATTATTTTTGTATATCTATATGCATGTGAAGCCAAAATTTGCCTTTTCGCTGAAATTTTTATGCACATAATTGCTTCAACATGAATACATGATATATTATTATTTTTTCCTTTTCCCAACTATGAACAGTCGAAGGGAGAAATCAAGAACCTCTTTAAGTAAAAACACAATTTAATTTCATGAATAGAAATATGTTTATCCGGCTAACTTTATGTGCATTCACACGCTGATCAAGCCAAATGATAAGGTACGTGATTTTATGATTGTGATCCATGCCAAAGTCGAGATAATGCTTTGCTTTTTCCTGTTAATTAGCTAGAATTCTTTCTAACAGTCTTAATCCTTTTGAAATTCTACGTACGTTGAACGTTTTCAACGCTTTTGAACTGCCGACATGCATAAAAAAGACCATGAATTAGGTCGATGTAAAACAAAACAAAACAAAAAAACAAAACCTAAACTGCATACATGTCGTAATAAAGTGTAGAATCTTACTTTTACTTTTAAAACATTTTAAATCACAAAACTATTAGGTTATTCACAAACTTCTCGGATATCAATCTTTAACAAAACAAAAAGTAAATAATGAAATCTCGGATATTAATATCTCCAACTAATAAAAAAAAGGCTAGGAGTCGTAGTATTGACAAAGATATAGCAAACTATATACGGTGGAATCATCAGGTTTGGTTGGAAGGATGATACGAACTACCAACTCAAGATGTTTAGTTAATCTATTTCTGACAAATGACAAGAAGCATGAAACATGTACCTCGTGGCCTCTTCTCATTGGTCTCATGAGACTGTGGAAGATACGACATTTTACAAAATCGTTTATAAGAATTATTTTTGCTGACAGCAAATCATTAGGATTTAGGATCATCATACTTCTCAGTTTGGTTGCTAGTTGCTACAATTATCTCATGGTTTTGTCTTGATCTTTTTTTTTATTTCTTTTGACTGGTTATGAATGCATTTGAATGGACACCGTACCCTATATTAGTGAATGTTGTTAACATGTTAAAAACTATATTATATACGTAGTATAGCAGTAAGCAGTGCGGTTTAAGCTAAGCCCATATATAGACTTAGTTTTCGTTTGATTGTACTCTTAACAAACTATGTAAATACTAATAATCCGGAACCTATATGAAAGCAAGAACATATTTTATGGCTCGAGAGAAACACTTGCATTCGTAGCTCATCCGATCCTCAACTCCTTGAAAGTGGGACCTCTTAGCTATAATTAAATCACGTTAAGAAAATCTTCTTAAAATAACTTTTAGAATTAGCATATGATACAGTATATGACATATTGTACAATGATTTTCAATATACATTAGTATGTGTAAGTGAATGACAAGACATAATCGATAGAACTTATAGTTTTCTAAAAAACAGTTTACTTAAGTTGTGTATTTAACTATGTGAATTGGTTATCTAATGAAAATAGTCCAGTGGTAGAAAATAAATAGATACTCCACAGACAACACACACATACTATATAGTATATATTAGTGAAATCCACATATTACGGACAATAGTTTACACTAACAGAAAAAGGTCATAGACTCATAGCTATATAACTAGATAATATACTTAATTAATAACAAAGATTATAGATATCGCAATATCGTTTGATGCATGTCTCGTATATTTGCATGAAGATGCTCTCCTTATTAGCCGCACAAACAGTCTCCCAACTCCACTTCTCTTTCACGTTCTCTATTACAACTTGCTTCTTTGTTTATTTTAAATTTATATTAAACTAATCGAGTTATTAGTATTTGAATTAGTACTTACTTCAATGATTGGTCCGTAAGATATCATGAACTTCTGCTCGAAGATTTCGTGTTAGAATTAGTAATTGATTGCAATTTGTTATACACTTATGGGAATCAATCAATCAATTGGTGACTAAATTTGATTCTATGTTCCTATGAAATTACACACAATATGTAAACAATCCATTGGATTGTCACGTTTGTGGAAGACATAATCCAGCATGATTTGAAGCAAATCTATGACATTAAACTAGAAGAAATGAATTATTCATTAATTTCCCGAAAGTTTTGCTCCTGGGCAATAAACTTCTTTAATTAAAAAAATGTTTTCGAAATTTAACAAACAATTAATGTATAAGTAAACCACGGTTCTAAATTTGGATGGCTATAAACACTCTAACCCATCCTGTCTTTGCAATATAGATATTACGGATGAAATACAGATTAAATTTGCAATATATATAGATATTCATACTAATCCTAAAATTTTCTCACATACATTAGTTTTTTTTTTCCTTTAAAATCTAGGATATCGATATTGTAATTTCTAATGTATATAAGAACATATAAAACATACTTATCAGCATTACCTTTTGTGTTTTTGAGTTGGTCATGTATCGAGATTCAGTCTACAGTTTTATTTCCGAGTCTTAAGCTGGTGGGTTCGATCACATGCAAATTACATTTGTCTATTAGTGTTACGTAAATACAAATATACACCCCATATGTAAGAAGTAAGAACACGTGTGTATAACTGTGTAATCTCCAATATACGTACATTGTTTTCGCTATCTTCTACGTAAATTAATTAATTTTAATTCGTCCTATATATTGTTATGTCGATTAATACCCTTTAGTCTGCTGTTCTAAGTCCAAACATACAAACATCAAATCTTTACACAAAATCTTAATCTCGGTGTGCGGGCAAAATTGCGACCATACAACTTTTTTATTTATTATGCCTAACCATAATTAAATCTGATCTGAAATTGGTTATTCCTTGGTTACAATTACTTAAAGATTTCGACCATACAACACGAAATGGAATCAACAATACTCTATTAACTTAATATAGGAGAAACTCGTGCTTTTAATCCTCGACGATTTTCTGTTAATTAGTACTCCACTTTTTTTTTTAAGTTTTAAAATTTTGATTTTATAACTCACTATTAATTGCGATATGTGGGGTCACCTAAGATCCTTCAAGAACTTCTTGATGAACATATTAATGTTCACATTGGAATCGTAATCTTATGTTATGATTGTATATATATGTGTCACGTAGTTCGACTTTTAACCACTATTAGATCTTCCAAATATCCTTCTCTATCTTTTTGCTTCACATATCTTATCTTATTAATATATAAAATTGGTTGAGCTTTATAAGAGTTTTACATGTAGGAAAATTACAACTATTAATACTATAAGATTTAGATATATGCATAAACGTATTTAAATATTGACATGTCAGTTTTAAATTGATATAAGTGAAAATTGCAAAAATTAAGAATTGAAGAGAAAAACCATGGGCATTGGAAATATTTAATTAAATCGAAAAATAAATTATGGATTTATATATACATATTAAAATCTAGTGGTAAAAATATGTTCTTTTTCAGTTTTGTTTTGTTAAAAGATCAAATTTGTGACTTTTGAACATGTATACCACTTTATTTTTATTTTATTTTGGTGAGAATATTTTTTTTGTTAAAAACATCTATACACTTAATGAGATCTTTAAAAGTTACTTTGTATTATATTTGATATTTGAGTATATTTCTAGAGATTAACAACAAATCTTTATATTATGTAATTAAAAAAAAGTAAAGCTAGCTTGGGATGGAATCATTGCAGTTTGATTAAATTTTGGCAACGTAAAATTGATAATTTCATTCTTCATATTATTTGTTTAAATATATTTTAATATAGATAAAATATGTGGTTTTATAAGTGTAATTTTGATCAAACTTTTAAATCTTGTATTGTGTAGAAATTTATATTGTTTGTAATTTTATTAATTATTTTTATTACATGTTTATCTTCAAATGTTAAAGTGTGTATGTAGAGATTTATATTATAGCATGTGTAAGCGGGTTCCTAAGTACGAGAGAATTAGATTCTGCCTTAATTAAACAAAGGTTTCGATTAGCCGTACGTACCGCCATTAGGGAGCATACTTTGACCACTTAGTGAAAATTATAAATGTGTTTTTTAACTAATTATGTGGCCAAAAAGTAATACAGTATATAATTTTTTTCCCACAAATATATTTTATAAATATATCGTATTTTCCATAATTAAATATTTACAAATTCTTCACTTTATATGTTTACAAATAGAAATCATACCGATGCAATGACCTACGATCCAACCGGTTAGCTCAACCACTCAACATTTGAGAAATGTGATTCTGTTCGATTACCAGTAGGTTTTTATATGTATAAATGTAAATATAATCATATTAACTCATACGAAAAAGTATAACAATCCATCCAAATTCTGGTTCGTAAATAATGTCATACTTAGAGATAAGTTATTCTCATGGTAATCAAGCAAAAGATGGAAACTTCCTAATTTCTAATATAAAGTCTACAACTACGGTATAGATTTTTATTAATAAAAAGGAAATGTGTAGATATAAGAAAGTGTATATGGATAGCCACCCACCCACTCCTCTCGTATAATCGGAATTACATTTTTTTAGTTATCCCAAATCCATATAATCGGAATTTCAACCACCGTATTTGGGCTATAGATCTCATAACTAATGTTATGGAAAATAAATGAATAAATTAAAAAAAAATTAAAAATATATTATGCAGAAAAAATATGTATCAACTAGAGATTAGGAAGGAGAAGACATAAGCTAACAGTTGTCCGAAATTGTTTTTGGCAAAAGGTGATCTTTGATTTTGCTTACAACATCGAATCAGAACATTTAATTTAGTTGTTTCCCCATTTCTTCTATCTATGGAGTTTAATATACCCAATAAATTTGATTAGTTACTTATTCCAGCTCTTAATATTATTTTTAAACACATAATGTGAAACAGACGTATATAGTTTTATATAGAAACTATATATTATTAAAAACTACTATACTACTACTGATGACTCTTTTGTTTACGTATAAGTTTTTGTTATGTAAATTTGTATTCTCAAAGAAAAAATTTGATGCAGCGAGATATTTGGAAATATTCCAAATATCTATTATTATCATATTTTAATTAATTAATAATTATTGTTCTAGAATATTCTATGTTTTAGGGTTTTTATGCTTTATTATAAATAGCCTTCTAAGGCCTCCTATTGTATTCAGTTATTGAATTTATTAATCGAAAGATTTAAAGAGGTTTTTATAAACCACTGTGAAGAGTATTCACAAACCCTAAGAGCTTTTGCGAAAGCCCTGAGAGGAGGACTCTCAAACCCTAGTTTCCGGGTATTCTCAGAATCAACGGATCTAGTTCTATCCCTAGAAGCTTCCGCTTCATCATTTGGTATCAGAGACAGTGCTTTGATTTCTAAGTCAAGGCTCGATTCTGGATGTCATGTTGACCGGAAACATCTACCCTATCACAGGCGAAAGTCTGTTTTCTGAAGAAGAAGAAAACCATGAGATCTACAGAGAGATCTATGGTGATCCCATCTATGACATCTATGATGATGATGTTATAGTTATTGATTTCGTTTTTCCAGAAGATGCGTTCGAGAATCTGACTCGTGCAAAATTCGTGCGAAATCTGACTCGTGCAAAATTCGTGCGAAATCAGACTCGTGCGAAATTCGGGTTTCATGCAGAAATCATGAAAGATCAGATCTGTGCAATTTTCGGGTCAAATCTGATTCGTGCAAATTTCGGGTCAGATCCAGTTCGTGCAAAATTCGGGCAGAATCAAGAGATGGAGATAAAGCTGAATCTTCGAAAATCTCCTATACTGAAAACCCTGTTGAAGATTCGAGGGCGAATCTTTCTTGGCCGGTGGGAGCTGATGCAGCGCAGAAACAAGATTCGAGGACGAA